AAGTCGTCCAAAATGTCACTGGAGTTTAACCTTACCGCGAATACGTGTACGCACAGCTGAGTTGCTTGTGGCAGCTCAGGCGAGAGGTACATGCATATAATATGCCGTTGCGTAATTCACCTTCTGCCACCATAGACGCATCGGGATGAGGTGGATGAGGTAGCTGGTTTCACAGTAAGGTCATACGTGTACGTAGAAAGGATATAGCCGGATAAGATGGTCAAAAGATCCCCTAAACCAAATTCGACTTGCTATGAACCATTCGATAGGCGATGAAAAAAAAAAACAGCCTGTGCCAAGTTTCAACCCTGTATCTCATCTGGGAGGGTAGTTGCAGGTAAAAATGTAATCGCCAAGTTTTTGGCGAAAATTCTGAAAAAAATCAGAGACATTTCTATTTGTGAGGCACATATTACAGAATTTTTTCAGATTTTTAGATTGAAAACTGAAGCCGTGAAAAATCCAAAAACGTCAAAAAATGCTGAAAAATGGCGATTTTGTATGGAAGGAGTCGCGGATCGGGATTCATATTGTTTTTATAAGTGTATATTATCGATACTATTATTCTCAATTTTTTTAAGAATTTTTGGTCAGGTGCGCCATAGTAACTACCCTCCCAGATGAGATACAGGGTTGAAACTTGGCACAGACTGATTTTTTTTAATTACCTATCGAATGGTTCATAGCAAGTCGAATTTGGTTTGGGGGCACTTTTGACCATCTTATCCGGCTATACCCTTTGGTCCATATTTCTTCAAAAACAACGATTCATAATTGTGTATTATTTTTAATTGAAAGATCGAGTTGCATTCAGAAATTTTTAGACGTATATTATTTAGAAAGTTCCATTTCGTTTAAATGTTATACGAATCATTTTAATCGTAAATCTTCCATTTCAGGTATTTCTAGTATACAGGGTGTCCTAATAATTGGCATAATTGGAAAGAGGATTAATTTTCTTCATAATGTCCATATATGGCTCTTCTTTTGAATATCATTCAATTATTATAATTATATTTAACAAAATTGAATTCGTAGCCCTGATTAACCGTGACCCCAATGGAGGGGTCAGTAGGGAAACAGTGAACGAATATTTCGAATAATTCAAAGCAATTAATATAATTTCGCTAATTACTTATCACCTCTGTGAAGTAGTTACATTCTGTTTGTTATCAGACGGGTTCGAATTCTTTCTGAAAATCACTCGTACAGAAGGTTTCTTCGTGGTGATTGGAATGAATTTTTATTAATGTACGATCAAAATGCACGCTTACGTGCGGGAATTATAAGTTACATAAAATATCGGCGAGGTCTTTCACTGGAAAGTAACCGTGCAAGATTACACCGCACGGTGGCTGTGTAAGTGTAAATATTTGTTAAATACCTTAGAACCCGTCGGTGACATTAAGTTAACCAACTTCCGTGCACCAACCTCACCAACCCCCCGGTATTATCCATTCGATAATATTATTTGACTGATACAGGCTCGAGGCGTGTATTGTTGAAAATTGTAAGAGAAAGGGAAAGTGGCCTTCCATTTCTCAAACGACTGTCGTTGACGCCATCGACCTTGCCAGATGCCGATCATTATTTTAAGAAATACAGAGATCATCGACGTTAACTGATGCTTTCTCTTTCTGTCTTTTGAAAAAAAAAAGAAGACATGCTTGCCAAGAAGAGAGAAGTAATTTATAGATCAACGTATGTTAATTGCTATCTTACGAAATTAACGTTACTTCCTTTTGATGGGTCGAATACCGTGGGAGTCATTCGTGACCCACAGGGCAAATAAAAACAGCCTCGTCATTAAGGTAGCGAATTAAAATTTTGTATACATTGCAAATGAAAAATTTGAAAATTTATTATACATTGATAATGTAAGGTAGTAAATGAAAAATTTGAAAATTTATTTAATGGAGAAATTATAGGGACTAGGAAGGCTAAGATACCTCGACTTCCTTAAAGTTCTCCAACCTACTTCAATTGAAGGTACAACTAGGTCACCTTGCCGGAGGTTTTGCAACTTCGATAGCTGTCTAAGAGAGGTGTGTATATAGATTAACAGGGACGGATCTGTATGGTTCATATAGAGTGGTCTGAAAATCCGGTTTTGGGAAAATAACGAGAATCCCCCGGGGGACTGTCTTTATGTCAGTTTTGTTGGGGCCATGCTCGGACAAACTTTCCTCGAATTCCTGGAACGCATTAACCACAGCCCACCGTTTTGTTCGTTCTTTGTTCGCTGGGATAATTTAAAAATTGCACAACAATGAAAATAGCTCTTCGATTCCCTTTATGATCAGATTCAATTTCAATGCATTAACAAATTAATCCGAACAAATCGATCATCTATAAGTGCAACGGTGCAGTTGAAAAATGCAACTGCACTTTTCCTCTAAATAAAATTACACCTCTTTAAAACTCTGATCGTTAAACATAGAAATAGCAAATTTTTTCAAATTAAAACTCTGAACTATTGCTATTGAATTTTCTCACAGCTCGACACGTGTATGGGCTTTCTTCTAAATGGAACAGGCAGAACGCGTTTCTAAACAGAGCTGCTGTTGAACAAGTAACAGAGGTAGAAAGGTAGGAAGAAATGAATGGTTAGAGAAAGAGGGAATCCAAGGAATTCAAGTCGCACCTAGAAACAATGACTTCCAAGAGATATTCGCTTTGCACACCGGGTAAGAAAAAAGAAGAAAAAATTATCAGGGGAATGCAACGGCGAGGCGTGGGCGCAGAAACCCACGGAATCTTCCTTCGTTTCTTTTAATCGCACAACCTCTTTGAACCGCGCACGGACCATCGTCCGTGTCCGAGTTTACCAGCGAAATCTTTGCGTGCCTTGCGTTCGCGTATTTTCGCGTGTGTCACGCACCAGAAATGCTGTCAGGACGCCCACGCGTTTTCGCGGAAACTGGGCTGTGAAACGAAGCGTGCACGTTTCCGTAGGGTGCACGACCTGTATCACCTATGAACGTGAAATTATATGAGAAAATATTTATTAAAATTCTTTATTACTTCGGTGTTATTTCGAATGATTCAATAGATGTTACGTAGAAACGTTTTAGGAAAATCAGCAACCCCGGTGAAAAGGCGAATGATAGAAAGATAAGGTACTTTTACTGTCAACTTTCTTCGGCTACCTTCATCCTACACACCGATTTATATAATATTCGACAGGATAAATTAAAGTCGTTCCTAATGCAACAATTCCTAGTTATTGCGCTATCTCGACCGATCTAAAATATTCTGTTCGGTTGAAAGTTTTAATTAATCGAAACTGGCGTTTCTAACTTGGTACGTAGGTATTTTAATTAATGGATAAAACAGAGGATTTTCTCATCTGTTATTTATTACAATAATATAAATAATTTATTTTCATTTTCTTCTTGCTTTGTCAAGGACAGGAAGGAAAGTAAATAATTGTTACTTAAAGGAAAAGTCAGTTTAGATCTTGATCGATGATTCATACCGTTCGACTACAATCGAACGTCCTGCAATTATAATCGAAATAGAACGAGGAAGTCGATTATCGATTACGTCACTAATATTCCTGATTCGAAATCGATAAAAGTTGAAAACCAGAGTGGATTACGTGTCACAACCGGCGGAACGTGCTGGATTCATGAATTCATACACGTGTCCCCAATTGACGTTTTACGCTTCGTTTCTCGTACAAGTACTTAGTTCCTATCCACGTACGGTGATAAATTAGACAAAACTAATTCAAAAATAATTTCACTGAAAAGACCATTTGCCAATTTCAAATTATCGACGATCATCTGCAATAACATGTTTGTAAAATGCGCTGTGATGAAATTCAGATAATTTTCTACGTTCTAAATTATTAAACGAATTAAATTCACCGGGAGTAAGGTTGATTTTAATTTTTAACCGTAGACAGTTTAAAAAGTATGCTATCGATGCTCGCTCCGTTAATCTTCTCGTTTTCTCCTTAATGAGCATCGTAGAAGATGGATGAAATTACTTGCGCTCATCGTCGATGATTTCGAGGGAATTTAGAACGCTTCTTCTTTTCCTCTGTTTAGTATGCATTAGGGGAACACCCGTTTCGTTCAAGTTCGCGCAAAAGCACTTTAGTCGGGCGTGGCACCAAGAAAGCTGGGAAAGTGATATCTCTTTGCTGTCCAGTGTGTTCTGTTCGATTCAGGAACGTATTAAGATCCCCCTTACCCCTGTTGCTTAAACGAGAATGAAATTAAATCTGCCTATTTTCAATCATCGTTTCGGAAGAAATTCAATTTCATATTTTCAATATTCTTCATATTCGATGCGTTAATATCGAAGAATCCTCTGTTTCGTAATTTCGAAATTTTACGATACACTTGGGTGAAACGTATACTCAACTTTCGTTACTTTCATTTCTAAACGCTTTCCAAATTTTTACCAGATTTTTCTGCTCCTCTGTGCTTCCTACGAGCCGGCTATAAAATTCAAATTATAAGGTATGCTCGAAAAAACAGCGGGACCGGGTTCGATCGACACGTAACCGGAAGTCGATGCCGCTTGTTGTTCGAGGATAAAGAAAGATTCAACGAGAGATTTAAAAAAGGGAATTATCCTTTGTGCATTCCGTCTTCTATGATTTTCAGTGATAGAATCTATTTTTAGTATATCCTGCGTAATATCCTTTCTCTTTGAATGAAACGTGTCCTTATTCTGATTTATGGCATCTGGAGAACGCAAAGGTACAGTGTCGAACTCTTACAGTGGAGAACGGAACCATTCGCTGGTTGCTTCTTTGAATTCCCCGTTACCAGCCAGAGGATACAGAAATTCTCTTTGTTAGTTGCAAAATTATTTTGTAGATTTTAAATTAATTTTTAAATTTCAATAAATTGTCTGCTCTTTATTTGTTTATTATTTGTAGCAAAAAGGTGGAAAAAATTAGTTAATTAAAATTATTTATTCATTATTATTCCAATTTATTTTCAAAACTTTCATTAAATGAAGGGAAATAAAATAAAATCAGATTGTTAGAAAAGTCGTTGCTTTATTTAAGTATAAGTAATCAGCGAATTTAATACAAAGCGTAAGTACTAGATGACTCGTCGATTAGCTGAAACAGAAAGAAGAAATACAATTTATTAGACACATTCGTTCCATTCTGGATTAAATTCAAAAATTTCAATATTTACTAACAATAAAAAGATATAGAATTTCACGAATATACCTACCATTTGGCAATAGAGAAGGGTTTACAAGAGTCCGATGGCCTGTCGTACGTTAATCCCGTCACACACTGTACCAATTGTGGCCGACCGTTTCTACAGACCACTATGTTCGTACAGGCATTGTTCAGTCTGTGTATGTCTCCGTTATTACAAGGAACTCTACTTAAGTTAGCAGGAATACTTTGCAACAGGGTCCAGGGATTTTCAATTTCCTCTGTCGAGTCTTGTACACCGAACGCCTCTTTCTGTTTTTGGCTATCGATTTCTAATTGCGAAGCGACTGGTCTTTGGTTCCATGGATCGGTTTCCGTTTTGCTTAGCCAGGGATTGGTGGAATAAGATGGTTGCTGAGGTCCGTAAGATGGCTGTTGCGGTTGCTGAGGACCGTAAGATGGCTGTTGCGGTTGTTGGGGACCATAAGATGGCTGTTGAGGTTGTTGGGGCACATAGGGTGGCTGTTGAGGTTGTTGGGGTACATAGGGTGGCTGTTGAGGTTGTTGGGGTACATAGGGTGGTTGTTGCGGTTGCGGAGGTACATAAGGTGGCTGTTGTGGTTGCGAAGGTACATATGGCGGCGATGGTGGATAGGTCGGTTGTTGCGGAGGTAAAGATGGTGGTTGAGGTTGCGAAGGTACATAAGGTGGCTGTTGTGGTTGCGAAGGTACATATGGCGGCGATGGTGGGTAGGTCGGTTGTTGCGATGGTGGTTGAGACGGTTGAGTAGGAGGCTGTGGTTGCGAAGGACTCGTTTGAGTTGGAACCGTGGGTCCAGGAGTTGCTGCACCTTTGCAATTCACGTTGTACGGGTAATCGCATACGCTTAGCACCTGTGGAGCAATAAATTAGAGAAATTAGAGGAGGCGAGAGCTCGCTGTTGAGCATATTCTGTTAATTAGAGTAGGAAAGAGTCATTTGAAATTGACTCCTAATATTTTCTATTCTTGTTATTAAAAAAAAAATCACTTCTAATTTTTGTAAACGTTACTAAACATTCTTCTATAGAAATTACTTAACGAGAATACTAAAACCGAACGAGCTCAGCATGTACGTTGAATTTAATATCAAGAAGCGACACGGAAGTCACTGGAGGTAGCCTTTGACCGTGTACGGAGGGCAAGCGGGAGTTTCGGTGTAGGAAATTCTCACGCTCGCATGACGAATGCTGATATTTTGCAACTTAAAATTCTGTCCGCGATCTAGGAATAACTTGAGAACGAAATTCTTACGTCGTTATAGACCAGGCCGCGAGGACAGGCGAATTTGATAGGCTTTCTGTAGACGCACACGAAGAACTCCGAACAGTTCGTCGCACTTCTGTAACGACCGTTCGGTTCCGGGCACAATTTTGATCCCGGGGGCATAGGTGGTTCTAGTAAAAAACAAGAAATAATATTAAAAAAGTTCTTGGTTAACACGTTGAACGCCATGGGGGTCACCGGCTACGCAATTTACACACGCCTGAATAATTAAAAGAAAACAAAAGAAAGCGTGAAATTTGAAATTTAAAAATTAATTATTACTATTCTTAGTAATTAGAGCTTTAGCGTTCACTGTGGCGTTCAACGTGTTAATTAGATAATTATTGAAATAAAATTTTTGATTTTAATCAACACCTTGATAGCTGCACATTTTATAGAATCTATGATATTTGTAATTTTATTAATCACATTTAACTGTATTCAAATTTATGAAGCGAAAGGGTTAAATCGTTATTTACTTACTCGGCGTAGGCATAGGACGGCTGCCGCAATTCACGTTGTAATCGTAATCGCAGACCAGAGTAATATCGTTGAATAGTAAGCTGTCGGGGCAAGTTTGCTCGGTGACCACATCATCCCAGCAGTTTAAATAATTAGCGCAACCTTTGGGGCTCGGAAATTGTCCCCTCATAGCGTAACATCCCGGCTGTGGTGTCGCGGTTGGTATCGGTTTAATAGTCGGCGATATAGGCCCTGGTAGCTCGTTCGTGTCTCCGGGGTTAGGAATCACCGGATAAAGTTGTCTCGTATTCAACACCTCTGAATCCTCTGATTCTGTCGCGTTCGCCGCTGCATTAGGATCTTTGTTCCAGACGTTTGGACGGTTGTCCAGCTTCTGTAGTTCCACCAGGTCCCATACATTCTCTAAATCTACTAAATACACCATGAAGTATTAACAACACGAGAAATGATAAATATTTCAAATAGAATCTTTTCAAAAATAATAAAACAGTAATTTTTGACTTTCGAATCGATTAGCACCGGTCGATTTCACAAAGGAACCGATCGAACAAAAACATCTATTCCGATGAGAGGAGTTTAGAAATGAATTAAAATTCCACGAAATCACTGACCTTGACGCTGACGAGGGTGTTCACGGTGTCTGCCGCCGAAGGTAGACACCGTGGTGGTGGTGGTGGTCGTTCGTCTGGCAGCATCGCAGATACCGAGCACAAGAGTTAATACTATGAAGATGAATCTCATGACGACCTTTCACCTGGGCGATCGTCGATAATCGAAGGTACAAGCACCCTCGAGGTGGCGTGTCACGTTGAACTCGCGTTAATCGTTGAAGAATCGCTCCCGGTACCTCCGTATCCTTGTACGATGTCCTGATGCTGGATGGTCTGGACCTGGTCGGTTCGAGGGCTTACATAGGGCATCCCCCACCATACTGCTTCCCGTAGGGAGTAGCTTCTCAGGACCCCAATTACACGGGCGCAGGAGGACCCTGCGGTGGACTGTTGCTCAGGAAGTGCACGTTTTCTGCACCACTCTTTGCTTGCCGCTGAAATGCCCCTCCACTTAGCTCGTCACCGGGGTCGAAGACGCCACAAGGACGCGTTTCGCTGCGACGCCGATGGATTCTTATTGGAGGAGATTTAGAATGACCGGTCAGGACCGTGTGATTCCACGGTGATCATTCGTCGTTTAAGAAAGAACCGTCGTTGGAATAAGAAAAAAAAAAAGAAGAAGAAGAAAGATGTCGCGGTTGGTAGTGGTGGTCATACACGGCCGACCGCGTAGGATGTCAAGGTCCCGTCAAGATGGACGTACTTGGGTAGGCCCAGCCTTTCGAACAGTATTCTATAACGGTATTGTCACCAGACATTCCATGTGCATTCAACTTTACACTCATTTTTTCGTATTCCCTTTGGACAACATCCTGGTGCACGCTCCGCAGGATCCCAGTGTCATTCGATGACCCTTAGAAACATCCTCTCTGATGATCCTCAGTTTTCTTTCCCGAACCAAAATTGTTCACGTGAAGAAATATTTTTATTAAAACAAAGTAACCGATCGTCTAGAAAAATGATTGTCCTTGGACAGCGATGCTTCAACTTCCGGCGTGGTTGTTCTCCGAAAATATTCTGACGCAACTCGGTGAACAGACAAAAATCGCGATCGTTGAACCTGCGGATGTTGAAGTCGGAATGCAGCGATCGAAGCACTCTCGAGATAACTCCTTCAAAGGGATTCTCATTACCAAAATGCATTCCGATATTCAAAAAGGACGATGTCCCCGAGCAAGCGCGCCGGTTCTTGCTCCCCCGATTCAGGATATTGCGTGAATTTTATGGTGCAGGTTGCGTTCGCCAGGACCACTGGTCCAGGCTTCGCCGTCTTTTTTATTATCCGGCAATGAGGAAGATTCCTTGGCGCGGAATGAGGAAAGATAAGAAGAGAAAAAAGAAAGAACGAGCGAAGCGAACGAATCCACGTAATCCTGAAATCCAGATATCCGTGCTGGATGGAACCTCGACGAGTTTTGGCAAGAATACCGCGTACACTCGTGAGTCACGCGTGACCTCAGCACTTGCTTTTCCATTCGTGCGACGATTCACATTTTACTCGAAACAGTTAAATGACACGATGTTTTTTGGGGGGGCACACTTGATGTACACTCGTGTGATCCAACATGTGCTTCGTTACATGATTTGATTTTTTTAATAGAATTTCTGTTATCTCTTCTGTACGCTCATCCGGGGAGAGACACTTAAGAGGTCGATAAACTATGACTCGTGGTACGCATCCGGTACGCCTTCTGCTTTTTATACCAACGCGATTTTCTGACAAAAGTGTCACCAAATAACATTTATTATGCATCAACTACTGACGGTTATTTTTAAGTTGAAAATAATGTAGAAAATTAATGGATAAAGAATGAAACGTAGTTAAATATATACATCCACTCTTTATCTCAGCAATAGTCAACACATCGATAAAATTAATAACTAAAAATGAGAAAATCAAAACCAGTCATTTTGATTGGTTTGGTAGTTCTAGTATTAAGGCTTATCGAAAAAGACCATACGAACCTTAATAACAGGGCCGGCCCTGGGACTAAGTAGACTAGGCGACCGCCTAGGGCCCCCCAAGATTCAGGGTTCCCATAAGACGGTTTAGTTATACAAGCTTTAATATTAATTTTATAAATTTTATTTGAGGTACTTTTTTTGATGTCATGTACGTGAAGGGACCCTTTTTCGGAGCTCGCTTAGGAGCCCCGAAATCTCAAGGCCGGCCCTGTTTAATAATATTTAATAATAATAAAATTATTAATAATATTTAATAAAGACCAGGTAGTATTTTTTAATACAATTATAAATTGTTAAGTACCTATCGTAATTAAATGATACTTCAGTAATAAACTAAAAGTATCTCGCCCACGCATTTCTAATACCGACGTTCTTATATTCTCTGTACGGTCTCGTGTGTGGTGTTCAGTGAAGTAAGAAGGCAACACAAACAAGAAATTTTTTCAAACCACCTACTTGCAATTAGATACTACCATATCCGTCTAGGAAGAACATTGTACTGCTTGTAGAAGGGTAAGGAAGATCTGCGAGCTACTGCGTGCAGAGATAATATGTGAAACACTGTAGGTATTCGTGAGGAGAATTCGTTAGCTGTTAGACTGGTTGAAACTTCATAACTTTGTACGATTGCGGAGATTGTATGGTTCAAGCTGTGTTTACTAAGCAGATTCACGAATACATCAACGAATCACGAGGGAAGAAAAAGGATTGACTCTTTCCAAATATAGATAGCTTCTTTTATTCTGTTCTTTGGGATACATTCCATTCGGATGCATTTTATATTTGTCACTCGAGGTGGTTTATTAAAAAATTCCTTTAAAATTCAATTCAATATTATTTATTTTTGGATAACCATATGTTTAATTGCTTCGTTTGTTATAATATATCTTTGAATGCCCAACTTTTGAATTTGATCGTCGTAAATATTTTTAAGCATAAGGGTAATCGCTTATGCAGATGAAGATAACACATCAACGAATCAGGAGGGAAGAAAAAGGATTGACTTTTTTCAAATATAGATAGCTTCTTTTATTCTGTCCTAGGGATACATTCCATTGGGTGCATTTTATATTTGTCACTCGACAAATAAAATTATTTATTTTTGGATAACTATGTGTTTAATTGTTTGGTTTCTTATAATATATAATATCTCTGAATGTCTAAATTTTGAATTTGATCGTCGTAAATATTTTTAAGCATAAGGGTAATCGCTTATGCAGATGAAGATAACTAATGTATTCACGCTTGCAGTAAGTCTGTAAAAATACCTTTAAGAACGTTTAAACTGCTCGGGTACGATTGGTATCAGTTTCGTAGGTATATAAAATTACAATATTCTTGTAATTATAAACCTGCTTTATGTAGGTGTTAGTGAATCAAATTTCGAATTCCATGTTACTGGTTTCAAATTTTTCTGTCGAATTTATGATCGACTTTATGCTCGTGAAATCCTTCTTCTTTTTACGTCTATTTATCGTCGAATTAGTTATTAAACCTCGAACAAATAGTATTAATAAGGAGGATTAATATTCTTTATAAAGGGTAATCGTATGTCATCGAATTTACTGTTTGAAAAATTCCTCGTCGATATTGATGTACGAACAGGATCGAGGATCGTGTAAAAAATATGAAAACTGGCAGCTGAACTTAATCTGACATATATCCAACGAGCTTACACCGTTATCATTTATTCTACCGGCGCCGATTAATCTGGCCAGATCCTTTTCATTTCGCCAACCGAGTATCCTTCTTCTCTTCGTTCAACCCTATCCCCTGTTTTGCTCTTGTTTCGGTCAGGTTTTCGTTCAAACCGAGCTGTACGCAAAGGATAGCCGCAGATGAGACTGAATATAACCGGAAAGAACCCACGGTGTGCTATCCAAAGCGAACGAAATGGAAAAATAAGGCACGGGAACCATGAGAAATGTGGGCGAGAAGTATCGGGGCCCAGAACAAGGTACACGATATTAAAAGAAAGGAATGAAACGTAGGAAGAGTAGGACAAATATGAAATGAAAAATATGGTATTATAGAAATTTATTTTGATACTAAATTTAAGGAATTCATAATTCTAAAATTCTAAAGTTCCAATGTTCTAAAATTCTCAAATTCTCAAGGTCTTAAGCTTCCAAGCTCTCAAATTTTTAAGTTTCCAAATTCTAAAATTCCAAAGTTTCAAAGTTTCAAAGTCTCAAAGTTCAAAAATTCTCAAGTTCTCAAGTTTTCAAGTTGCCAAGCTTCCAAGCTCTCAAATTTTTAAGTTCCCAAATTCTAAAATTCCAAAGTTTCAGTCCCATAGTTTAAAAATTCTCAAGTTCTCAAGTTTTCAAGTTGCCAAGCTTCCAAGCTTTCAAATTCTTAAGTTTTCAAATTCTAAAATTCCAAAGTTTCAAAGTCTTAAAGTTCAAAAATTCTCAAGTTCTCAAGTTTTCAAGTTCCCAAGCTTCCAAGCTCCCAAATTCAAAAATTCTAAAGTTCCAAAGTCTCAAATTTCCCAAATTTTCAAGTTTTCAAGTTCCCAAGCTTCCAAGCTCTCAAATTCCTAAGATTCTAAATTCAAAAATTTCAAAGTTTCGAAGTCTCAAAGTTCAAAAATTCTCAAGTTTTCAAATTCCCAAGCTCCTAAATTCCTAAGATTCCAAATTCAAAAATTCCAAAGTTTCAAAGTCTCAAAGTTCCAAAATTCTCAAGTTCTCAAGTTTTCAAGTACCAAAGTTTCCAAGCTTCCAAATTCCTACGTTTTAAAATTTTAAAATCTCAAAGTTCCAAAGTCTCAAAGTCCCAAAGTACCACAGTTGCCAATTTAAATTAAACTCCCTAGCAATTTTCAATTCTCCACATTATTTATTAAAGTAGCACCACCCAACAAGCAGAAAGAAAAGTTCAATTAAATTAAGATCCAACCCTTCCAATAATTAACAGAAGTAATAATATTACATCCACCCTTATTTAACGCAATTAATTTCGTCGACTGATAGTACGAACCACGATGTTGGATAAGGGATTACTCTTGCGTGGTGTCGAATCAGACCATAAATTCAATGTGGCTTACACGATCCACCACTTAAGTCCAAATACGACGGCGATATCCTTCGAAAGGATGTGCCTCGAGCACGCATATTTAAACCCTGTCTAGCAGGACCGACCTCGCACGTGAGTCCTCCAGGCAACATCATGGAACATTTCAATTTCCTTGCCACTCCATGATGGACAGGGAAGTGCTCTCCTTTGATCCTCAGCATCATATTATCATGTCTAGATCTCCCTTCCCGATGTCCTTTCGTGTCTGTTCTACCTTGTCAGGACGAATAAAAAGACGA